TACGAGGCACTAGGCGACCAGTGCCAGAGCCTGGAGGCCCGCAACCGGGAGCTCAAGGAGAAGGCGGACTCCATCGAGCGTGAGATCCAGTACGTCAAGGACCTCCTCATCGAGGTCTACAAGGCCCGGAGCCAGCGGCTTCTAGGAGACCAGTGCCAGAGCCTGGAGGCCCGCAACCGGGAGCTCAAGGAGAAGGCGGACTCCATCGAGCGTGAGATCCAGTACGTCAAGGACCTCCTCATCGAGGTCTACAAGGCCCGGAGCCAGCGGCTTCGTGCCAGCTAGAGGGGCCGAGGGGGCGGGCAGAGCCGTAGCATCTAGTAGTGCGTAAAGGGCAATAAAAGGTGTTCGCCGTGCCAGCCCTGGCCGGATGTAGAACGTACAGGCGCAGCGGCAGTGTTTATTGGGGAGTGTGGGTACAGCCCTGGCCTGGAGCAGGAGGCATGCAGGGACCCTGGGGACAAGTCCTGGGGGTTCCTGTCCTGGAGGGAAACTGCATACAATGGAGCAACGTGAGGCCTCGAGGACCCTGTCCTGCCTGTGTAGCCCAGGGACGAAGCACGGTCAGATCCTGGGGCCCATGGCCTGGAGGAGAGTCACACATGGACTTCAGGGACAGAGTAGGCTCAGGCCCTGGGCTCCCTATCCCAGAGCAGAGAGTTACACATAGACTTGGGGACTGAGTCATGTCAGACCACAGGGTACCTGTCCCAGAGAGGAGTCAGGCATGGACCGCAGGGATGGAGTGAGACCTGGCCCCAGGATCCCTGTCCCAGGTTGAAGCCACATATATACCCTGGAGAAAGAGCAGGGTCAGGCCCTGAGGTCTGCACTGTGGTGGGGAGGCATGTTTTTATCCCAAAGTCCCTGTCCCGGAGCCATGTGTGTACCACAGGCATGGGGTCCCCACACCAGCCAGGCTGTTAGTAAAAGTCCTCATCCTCCCCTTTCTCTGCAAGCTGCTGGTTCTGGATCTGCTGCTGCTTCTTGTATAGCTCAGCCACCTGCAAAGAGGAAGGAGAGGAGTTAATGAAACCCATGGCCACCCCCTAAGCCTGCTCTGCCACAGGAGCGGCTGCACCTTGTCCCCTTCTTATCCCCCAAAGTGGCACCTGGGAGCTGCTGGTAGCCTCTTCTGGCTTCTTGTCCTCCCGCACACGCAGGAACCGGGGGAAGCGCAGTGAGATGCCTTTCTCCTCATCGACCTTGGGGGGAAGGATGGAGGGGCTGAGACAGTGCCAGGGAGACAAGGCCATTCCCCCTTCCCTGCCCGCCAACTCACCAGGCCCACAGCTGCTTTGTAGACAGGGGAGATGGAGAGGTCACCACACTTCACCTCCCAAACCTGCACAGCTGCCAGCCAGTGGTCAGGTGCTGCCCCGCTGTCCCAGCGGTAGTAGGGCCGTGGCTGGTCCAGGACATGGTCCTGGGGGGCAGAGGGGACAAGGTTAGGGACCAGGCTGTGCTCGGATCCTCCTCGCAGCTGAGGAAAGCTGGCAACATACCTTGAGGAAGCCGTAGTGCTTTTCTAAGCTCTCCTCCGTGAAGCCCGTCCCAATCTGTGCAAGAGCAGCAGGAACGGTTAAGGGCTGCCCCAGCCAGCCAAGAGCGGCAGGAATGGTTAGGGGCGGCCCCAGCCAGCCACCCCCAACCTCTGCCACGGTGCCCACCTTGCAGATGCTCTGGTACTCTTCACTCTCCTCATCGTAGCAGGCCAGCAGGAAGCCCCCATACATGCCTACGCGCTTGCCCTTCCCCAGGTAGGCACCGATGACCACCAAGTCCAGCGTGTCCCCGACTCCTTCCAGGTAATCCTTCTTCAGCTGGTGAGAGAGGTACCAGCATCAGGCAGAGCCAGGCAGGCCCCACTCGGGGCTCCTGGTGAGTCCAGAACAGAGGAGGGGGGACCCCACCAGGGCTCTTACCTTCAGCCACTTGTGGGATCGCTTTGCAATTTCATAGGTGGCATCCACATCCAGAGTCTTCACCATGAGGCCCTCGCAGGAGTCTGGGGAGAGCCCATATTTATCCGTGCCATGGTGGGGGTAACCCAGCTAGGAGGGGGATGTCACTCCCAGCTTGGACACAAGGACCACCCCCCATCACTGTCTCCTGCTCCATCCCCCCCATATCCCAGCCCTGTCTAAGCAGAGCTGCCTCACCCTTGATGGACTGGTCCAAGAATTCAGAGATTTCCTCTGTGCTGCAGGCATCCATGGAGGTGGCAAAGAGGAATTCACCCTCTGTCTCCACGAAGGATTCGCGCAGCAACCGTCGGCGCTTGGAGAAAGGCTCCTTCACCAGCGACTATGGAGCAAGGGCCCAGTGTTACCCCCACAGGGAGACCCAGCAGAGCCAGGCACTGCAGGAGCACAGTACAGAGCAGGGGGATATGGAACAGGGCCAAGTGAGCCCAGGGGGATGGAGGCCCAGCCAGGGGCATGCACTCACCTCCCCATTGAGGTACAGCATGTCAAAGGCATACAGGCACACTTGCACTTTGATCTCAGCAGCCTCCACGTCCTGAGGTCATGGAGATGAACGAGGTTATTGCCCAGCTCCAAGCTGGGGACAAATCCTGCTTGCTGCCTGCCCAGGCCACAGCTAACTCATGCCAGCACCAGTGGAGAGGCAGGGTAATTCCCCCCCAAGCTTTACCTTCCTCTTCCGTGTCATCAGCACCTGGAACGGCTGAATTTGCTTCTTCTCTGGGTCCCACGCGACAGCTTCTGCATCCAGGATGCACGACTGCACACTGGCCTTCTTCACCTGCGCCAAATGACACTGGAGGTCAGCGCTGGGGAAGAATGGGGACGCACACAGCGCTGGGGTGCCTCGCACTCTACACTTAACAAGGGACCCAGCCATGGTCCCCATACACTGAGGGGACAGATATCACTTCGCCATCACCACAAGGCCCCCCGCCCCAGCTCCCTCGTCAATGACTGTCGCTTGCCTTGGGGATGCGGGTGATGATGTCAGGGTACTTGGAGGTGTTGTTCTCCTGGTTGCGGCTGTAGACATACACGGCCCCATTCTCCAGGATGTGGATCTGGGCAGAGGGAGGGCATTGCAGGAGGCTGGGCAGAGCCAGAAGCACCCTGGGGAGCACCTCGCAAAGCCTACCTGGGCTCGCTCGCCATCGTACTTGTACTCGCAGGTGAAGGCCACCTCCTCAAAGCGTTTCAGGAGCTCCCCGATGCCTTTGGTGGGCTGGGCCAGCATGGGCTTCAGGGGAATCCCTGCAGGAGAGGTGAGGAAGGGTCAGGACCCAGCTGGGCCACATGTCTCCCCACATGTCCTGGGCTGCTGTGGTACCTGGGGTGATCTTGCAGTGCAGGGGCAGGCTCTCGAGCCCGTGCTCCAGCAGCACAGGAATGATGGCAGCATAGTTCGGCAGCTCACTGGAAAAAAATAAGCCTGCCGTGAGCGAGTCCTAGCTCACATCATTGCCATCGGCACCCAGGGACACTTGTGCAGGTCTGGGTGATGCAAGCAGCCTCAGGCCAGGGATAAGGAGCTGAGAGGATGAGCCAGGGAAACCACGTGGGGATAGCAACAGCCCCTCTCCATCCCCAGGATTGCCTGGTCGAGCTCTGTTCAACACTGGGTGATTCCTGGAGTTAGCAAAGCAGGGAGGAGAGGCCCAAACAGGAGCATCTTGCCCCCAGGGAGGCAGACAAAAGGGCATCCAGCTCTGAAAGGAGAACTGAAAGCCCGTGATGACGGGCAGGATGCAGTACTAGAGGAAGGCATCTGCTCAAAGGCAATTGCCCGCTGCTGAGATCAGATAGCTGAGGTGCCCGGAAAACTCAGACAACTTCCTGTCAAGCCTCCTTGCATCGACTGTTTGGCAATCACCGGCAGGGCAGAGTGCTCAGAGCAGGAGGAAAGGCCAGCATGAGCAGTTGGGGGGGGCCCTCTATTTAAGGGACTAGCCCTGGCTGGAGCACGATGACAGTGTTTAAACCCAGACCACCATGAACAGAGCCGCCCTCCCTCCCTCCAGCCTGCTGCACCAGCTCAATCAGTTCAGTAGCAAACAGCTCCTGCCTCCCAGCACAGCCCTCCTGAGATCCTGTTGAGGAGATAACTCAGCACTGGGAGGGAGAGGAGCCTGTTGGCCTTCAGTCAGCATTACCCGCTACGGCCAGAGGAGCAAAGAATGGCCCCAGCACAGACGCACGGGCAGGGCTGGCCCAGGAGAAAGACTCCTCTGCCCCGCAAGAGGCAGCGTGCCCAGCAAGCCCCTCACCACATAACACAGGCAGAGAGGCAAGAAAGGCAGCCCACAGGAAAGCACCTAGGGGATCAGTTTATCCCCAAACCAGCTAACAAGCCCTGGTGGAGGTCATTAAAAGTGATCGGAGACAAAACAAGCATGTGAGGCAGCATGCCAAGGCAAAGTCTTGCCAAGCCAGAGGCCCAGGAGGCTCAGCAGACTGGACGTCACACTGGTGCCTGTCTGGGCTTCACCTTGACAGTACGGACAGTGGGAGGAGCGGGATTTCATCTCCCAGTCAATCTATCTCTCAAAAGCCCATGTTACCAGGCAGCATAAGAGGGTACCCACCCCGGGCAGAGCAGCACTGGGCAGCTGGTGAGTAGAAGGGGATGGTGCCAGATGGTGGCCCCAGCACCCACACAGGGCCATGCTGCTGCGTGTCACCCCACACAGTCACCAAGCTTGATGCC